GAAAAGAGTAGTAAGAAACACTTCCATTCCTTCCAATCGCTCTAAAACTCTAAAGAGTTTGCCAGAAAAGCAGTTACAAAATAAATTGCAACATTACTATAACTGGTTTCGAATCCAAACATAAGAAGAAGGTTTGTTAAATTGTTGTGAAAGAGATATTGTTTTTATTTAAGAGTAAATAAGACAAACAAGGATTTCACCATTTTAGATTCGGTGTAAGAAATAGGTCAAATTTGCTTTGGCTCCACGTATTGATAACTTTCTATATAATCTAAAGCAAGCAAAAATTTCTCTGAAAGTCTAGCTATTAGACATGTTTGTACAGTTTCATTAAAACATTAATACAAAATTCGATTATCATTCTAGCATTTTAAATTTGCCGAAAAATTGTGTATGAAGAAGTCCACCGTATTTTTTTAAAACTTTCTGTTTTACAATTATTTGCTGCAATATGTAAATATTTTACTGGTGGTATAATTAACAACTTTATATATCCCATTAAAAAAGTTTTTTTTAATCTACCTATGTTTTTAAAGAGTTTAAAGAGAGTTAATTTGTTAAAAATATATTTAAAATCGAAAGTGACTGGACTAAATGAACGAATTCCTATTTTCCAGTAGTCTGAAAGTGGGAAGATGAGTCTCATTGCGTGGGATGCGTTACGAATTCAAGGATTCCCAAAGGATAAATTCAATAACGGCGGACCAACGGTACGTGAAACGCGCAGTCTGCAGCAGTGACGTCACAGGCTGGATGACGTAACGCATTCATCGACGTTTCAAAGGGTGTGAAATAATTGAAGGTTGGTGTTCGTTTAAAAAGTTTTTCGTAAATAGACAGTCACATTCATGCGCACATACTTAATTGTATTATATTTTTGCTAAAATGTGACATTTCGTTGCTATTTGTAAATTGCGTAAAGGTTTTTGTAATTCATTATTTATTTCCATTTTTTGATATACCGTTTATTAAGCATATCTCTTAGTAGAAAGAGGTTTGAATGCGAGAAAAAATTAACGATGTAGCTTTGAGTAATAGGTTATCCAGAAAAACTTACAAAACAAGTCCTTTCCAAATTAAAAAATAAATAAATAATAAAAACTTTTAGGCAACCCAAAAAATAAAACAAAAAGTAATGGAAGGTCAGGAATTTATTAAATAAGTTGTAAATATTGTAAACAAAAGTATATTGGACAGACAAAAAGGTGAATCTTAACTAAATTCAAAGAACATGTAGCTCACTTAAAATATGGTAGAATAGAAACATTTTGTGTAGTTGTTAATGTATGTAATTTTGTGTAGCCCAACATGTTTTTGACAATAATCATAGGATGTATTGTGGCTTAAACAAGTTAGACATGTAACAGACAGTAGACAATTTGCATTAGGAACTTATATAATTATACAAACTTATACAAACTTATCATAAATTCTAATAAAACAAACTATGCTATATATTATAAACGTAAAGATATTCAAGATCTAACACACTTTTAACAATAATTTATCAAGTAGGCTAGTATTCCCAATACAAAATTCTTAGGCCTTTATATGTATTAACAGTTATACTGGACGGAACATGTCAATCGCGTTATAAAAAAAACTAAGTTCATTGTGCTATTCCATTAAAAAAAAATGGGGATGAAAAATATATTCTTAATATCTACTATGCTCTTGCCTATTCACATATTAGATATCTTATTATTAGGGTTCGGAAATATGTGCAACAACGCAGGGTTCGGGCACTATGAAACTCTATGATAATGAAAATATAAACCGTATTTTTTAAGCGCCTTGTACCGGGTGGGCAAATTTCGAGCTTTTAAGGGATCTCGGTATTAAGGGCTATGGAAAAATGAACCCACCTTTCCCGACCTTTTTTTCGAGATAAATCATGGTAAAACCAGAATTTGCTATTCTCAGTGAAACAAAATTTGATTGAGGACTCGTAAATTAGAAGAAATCTTTGCACTTCTAAGGCACTTTTTTAATAGAAAGATTTCTTAACAGTTTTAATGTTATTCATTATGGCATAAACTTTATTTTTTTAAAGGAAACCATAGTTGCTAGATTAAAAAAGAATTTTTTTCTTTACAACGATATAAGTGGGGTAAATAGGGAAAAGTAAAAAATTTTAATTTAAGTATTTTTTTTTTCTTAGAAATAAATAACAATTACAACATTTAAAAAAAACTAGGAAACTCCTCGAAGAACAAACACGCGGGAATAAATTAAAAACTAAAACAAACAAAAAAAATAAACAACAAAAAAACAAACAAACAAAAAAAACACATACAAAACACAACAAAAAAAAAACAATACTAAATGAAATTAACGAAAATAATCCGTTAAATCCCAAAACCAGCCACTACGCCATCCCTCCTCCCCGTGGGCCAAAACAGAGAAAAAAACAAAAAAAGACGACCTTGAATAACCAAACTCCATTACAAAAAAAAAAAAGGCTTCCTCTAAGGGACTAAAAAATAACCTAGCACAAAAACAAATTACCCCTCACTTCACCCAGGCACGGAAAAACCACCCCCCAACCGAAAAAAATAAAAAAAAAAAGGAACCTATAAAAAAGCCTACACACCGAGCACCGAACAGGCCGATTATATACGCGTATATTCCTATTGCACAAATAAACGAATTTATAAAATGTTGATATGGTAAAATTACTTCATTATGAAGAAAAACTGTGGCCAAAAATTTGAAAAAATTATTTTATACTCACGGCACAAATTGTGTCCGGAATGATATGTGATGTTGTTTGCAGTGCGATGTTACAGTAGTATCTTCAAGCAAAATGAAAATTTTGCAAAAAACAGAGATATGGAAAATATATTCGTATTCATATTAGAATATGAAAGATATATTCATTTGGTGATTGTGAAAAAATATATTTCACAATTTTCGCACTTCGTTTCCAAGATCTTCTGGTGAAGCATATGTTTTTTTATTTTTTTTTTCGCGAATTTCTTATTCACTCTAAAATATTATGTCAGTCCCATGTGAATCCCTTTACAAAAATGCGAGAATTTCAAATTTCACCAGCTGTCACTGCAACTGATTTGCTCCGTACACAATTTTCTCCGTGAGTACAAATGAATTTTGCTATATTTTTTGGCCACGGTTTCTTTTCATAATGAAGTAATGTCACCTTACGAAAATCGTATTAATGAAGTATGAAATGTACAGAGCAAAACAAATACCATTTTTTGAAAACTTATTTATTTATACTAAATACCCTGTATATAGCATTGAAATAAAATTAATTACAGAAGTATTTGAGGCATGGTGGAATATCGCTATTCATTTTTTTGAAAAACAGTTGCCTAGTTCGAATAGTCAAACCCAGTTTTCCACACCCAGTAGCCAGTAGCGAATTAGAAAAAGCCGCCAGACTGATCAGATTTTAAAATTATTTATGTAGTTAAAAAGAACTTTTGGAGTACCTACTGTATTATAAAAAAAAGAAATCGGCCAACCCTCTCCAAAATATTGTTCAATAGTTCAATTTCAAAGGGCACACACTGTATAATCGTTTTAAACTTCATTAAAATATAGACTTTAAGAGTAAGAAAAAAATATTCCAAGTGCAAATACCTACTCATTAGGGGTATTTTGCTTGCAAATTGAGAAATAATGAATACGTGATGGATATTTGTTCATATATTCACTATGTGTTTCGTTTTGATCCGATACATCAGTTTCAGAGCTAATGTGATTACTGATAAGAAGTCGAACTATTATTAACTCTCACCGCTGGACTACATTTTTTATATATCTATTGTTTAGTACAATATGTATATTGAAGTAAGTTTTCAGTTTCCGTAGGTTAAAAGTCTATATTTTATTAAAGTTAAGGCGATTTTACTGATTTTTTTCGTAGTTGTTTTAGATTTCATAATTTGATAATGTCTGTTGAAAATGTTAATCGGCCGACCTATTATGAGCCATAAGTAGTAAGTAGTAAGTACTAAATTAAGTAGTAACTCGTAAGTATTAAATTAAACGTTTTATAAATACGTTTTCCTATTTTTAAATTGAGAAGCGCTAGTGCATATCGTTGCCACAACAGGAATTTTGGTTTGGACAGCCACGTGAAGCATATTTGCTTCTACTTTCTCGACTGAGATCAATATCGATTAAGTAAATCTCGTGGCACTTAACGTGTTAAGTAATTCTATTAACTGGCAGAGTTTCACCAAAATTTAAATTTTCAATTTGCCTGTAGTCGTCAGTGTCCACATTTTGGCGAATGCGCCAGTGTTGAGAAGCACATTTTATTTTGAATATATTACAACATGCCCTTAACGGTTGCATTTTCAAAAAGTATTAATTCAAATCTTACTAATATTTTAAAGGAAAACGTTTGAATCCTGAATTAAACGCATGCCCTTAACGTCATTTCAAAAAGTATTAATTCAAATCTTACTAATATTTTAAAGGAAAACGTTTGAATCCTGAATTAAACAATCTTGTCAATATTATTATGTAAGGTATCGATTTATCAATTCAGGTTATTTGAGAAAGTTTTCTTTATGGTGGAAAGTATTCACTTACCACCATAATTTTTATGAGTACCCTTTGTAAAGCTAAATATATAATTGTTTAAAGGTTTTAGTATATTATCTAGTTTAAAATATTAAATAATTTAACTGAAAAGATGGAGATGATTAAACAGGCAGAAGTTAACACATCAGGCGTGTATTTACAGTTGCATAAAATAAAATAATTATTACCCAGTAAATGTTTATGCATACAAAAGTGCATATTTAAACCTTGGTACTTTATTATTCATGCATGAGCAACAAAACGGCAAAGGTCTGTAATAAAAAGTTGCGGGATATCCTGCATTATCCATGTATTGATTGCATCTGAAATTTTATCTAATTAACTTTATAAGAAAGGCAGTCTAGGAACCTGTTTCATCCCATTTTTGTATTAATTTTCCCCTTCCAACCCTGGTCTAATGCAAAGCGAAACCGATTTTGCAAGCTGCGGTGTCCGAGTGGTTAAGGAGATGGACTTGAAATCCATTGGGCTCTGCCCGCACAGGTTCGAATCCTGTCCGCAGCGTAATTCTTTTTTGTATCCTTCAGCACTTTGAAAAAGTTAAATTAAAAAGACTCTGGCTAATTGCATTTTTCATAACTTTTCGGTAATTTTTGTAAATATGAGCTAATTTAAAAAAAAAACACACTTTTTATTATTTTTTCGGCTACTTAACATTTTACATGCGACCTTCACAGCGTGTCTCAGATAACTTCTTGATATGGTAAACAACACACCAAATTGGTTATAGGGTTTGCAAATAATTTTGCAATTCATTCCTTCTGCAAACTTTATAGAGTTGTCAATAAAGCCTTGAGCAACCTAAAAAAAAATTACGTATAAATGATCATTTACACGTTTTATGCGTTTAATTTATATAGGTATATTAGATATTTTATATTTTATATTGTATTTAAAAAAAAATCAGATTGCTCAGTTTTATTGACGGCTTTATAAAGTTTGACTGGACTGTAAAATTATAAGTGATTTCCATGAAATTTGATGTATTTTTAATCATTAATAAAAAAAGTTCTAAGACATGATATGAAGGATACTTGTATAATCTTAGTGGTCGAAAGAAGTTCATACCAAAACTTCCATTTTTTTTCTAATTATTGCTATTTTTGCAACAATAATAAAGCATTTTTTTTATTTTTATTATTATACTGTGTGAAGAATGTTTAACAAAACTCTTTCCTCACCTCAATTTCATTTTTCTTTTAAAATGAATGGCTCTCAAATTATCAGAAGAAAAGGAAAAAAACGGGTATTTTGCATTTTTTCTTTCATTTTATTTAAAAACAAATATTCCACAACTTTTTCAACTGACACATACCTATCGAAATTGTCATTTCTGATGATATTCCAGAGGTATTCTAATACAAATTGGGGCTCATATAGAAAAAATCCAACCCAAACAGATAAACCCTTACAAATTTGACAGCGAACAAACTCGGATCAATATTTTGTTTTTGAATCATTATGCAATGTGTTTCTAAAAAATAATGACGAAAACCTTAATAAAGGTCTTTTTGTGAAATGCTTTCTAAAGGTCGTCACTTCACAGGGGTGTCACCACAAAAAAGATGTGCCACTAAGAATGCATTTTCTTAGATACCATGAAAAAAGCCTATAAACACTAAATACATTAATATAAAATTATGTTGTTAGCGCTAATACTTGATTAATTAAAACAATAAATAAATAGGGTTGACCGATCGTGCCGCAATATAGCTGCAAGCGACGGGCGGGATTGGCTAGGTTCAGGTGTTTATGTCGTCGGAGTCGTTATTACTTTAATAATAAAATGTCACACTTGCAAACACCTAAAATACTACCGACTGTTACACAGTAAATAAATTCATCGGTAATTATCTTTAGATTTATTTTATTTTTTAGGAAAAGGTTTCTTTAGAATATAGTTTTTTAAAGGAAAACTGTTACGTAGGGACAAACGCGATTGTAACTGTCATATAAATTGTGTTGTGTACATATAAAATATAAAACATAAATATAAAAAACAGGGTATGCCTTTGAGAACTCGGTTTATGTTCAACTTACTTTTAATGCTATTTTAGTGCTTTTAAGTGCTTTTAATGCTATTAAGTGCCTCTGATGTACCTCTGAATGTACTCGATGAACAACCATCTCGTGAGTTCTGGAACAAATACGTGCCATTACCAGGTCGCACAACGTTATGTTTTTCTGCCAACTATCTACCAACTCTACGCAGTGACTTACTAAAGGGGATTAAAAGTACATTAAAAGTGCACGGCTGTGGTTATGTATTGACAAGGCAACAGACATGATGTAAAAAACATTTTATTCTAAATGTTATAGTACGTGTACTGGAACCCAGAAAATATGCACACCCACTGTTACTAGCTAGTAAAGACTAGCAGAGTGTAATGGTAACACAATTACGATTGTGGTATTGGAGACCATCGAACAATTTGAACTGTCAACAAGTCAGGTGGGTTTATGATTGATGCTGTTAGTAAACCGTTTGTTTTTAAAACGCGGTTGTAGGTTTTTGCATGTTACGTGCAAAGTGAATGCTTTAAATATTGTAGCAGAAACTATTAGAGAATGTTTTCGCAGCGTCGACACGTTAACAGTGGGTACAAAAAAAGGTGTTCCTAAAATCTCCTAAACGCCTTCGCGAGTTTCACAGCAAATGTCCTGGTATTCCCGAATCACCACAGCCGATTCTTACTCATTGTGGAACATGGCTGAAAGCCGCTTTTAATTATACTGAACATTTACAGCAAACAAAAGCTGTTATTTTACAGTTCAATCCTGCCGCAGCTGCAACTATTAAGGAGAGTCGGACCAAATTTAAAAATGTATCTGTTGAAAGAGCTTCAAAAACTATCCATAGTAACCCTAAGGTTTGTATGAAGCCATACAAAAATTACAGAACAGGGCGTTGTCGTTATCAGAGTCACTACAAATAGTGGACGAGGTAAATTCGCTGCGACAATCAGGTGACGCAATAAATGAACCAGTTAAAAATAAGTTAGAAAGTGTGTTAAACAAAGACATCGGTTTTTCCAAATTAAGACAAATTTGTGATGGTTAAGTGAGTGCAAAGAGTATTTTAATTATGCCTGTATTACATCGGTAGATGTTGAACGATCGTTCTCAAAATATTTTCACCACTGCAAACCAGACTCTCAAGGACAACTATTGAAAATTATCTGATACTTGAAATTTTATATGAATTTTTTTCGGTTTGTATCATCAAGAGGGAAATTGTTACATACATACATACATACATATATTGTTACAAAGCGTAATGCATTGCTTTTTACTATATTTAATATTAGTTACTTTATTACATGTATTCTATTATGATATGATTAAGAAGAATCTGTTTTGATACACTTTTGACTGTTGTGAGGAAATTTTAAAATCAACTTTACTTACTCGAAAACGGTCCATCTTATTTTCGATCAACCAAATTCAGCGGGATTACCATTTATTAAGCAAAGTTTATAAAATATCACAGCATCCTGTTAGAAAAAGTAAAAGATGCACGAAAAAGAATAAAGCACAAAAAAAGTTGCAAAATCACCTTCACCATCAAGTGTTGCACGTCTCCGGTATTACAACAAACAATTTACGATAGCGTGCTGTTAAACGTTTAAAGTTTTATGAAAGTACAAATTTTCGGAATTTCAAGTCAAACATTTTTCAGAATAACTAAGACAAAACACATTTAAATAACTTTATATGCTAATCGTCTTTTGTAACAATATATTTTCATTTCCAATACAAAATTAGAATAGCAAAAATATAGAAGAAAAATGGGCAAAAAGAACAGAAATATTGAACTCTAATCGATTAAAACATTTCTTAAATGTTTTTGGTTAATTTCTACACAAATATCTCTTTATTCCCTGTTCACTCTTCAACATTTTAAGTACGTGACTCATACGGTCTTATTTGAAAGTACTCCAAGGAAAAAAATCAGTGGTGTTAAATCTGGCGATCTCTGTGACCAGTTGATTAAAGAGCTTCTGGGGTTTTCCCATTTGTTTTTAAAATTAGCATTTAATTATTCTCTCACAGCTATTGCATTGTGCTTCCGGTTGAAATTTCAAATATAAAAGTGCAAAAGGATGCAAGTTAGCAATTGCTGAAACGAAAAATGGATTATAATAGTAATGAAAGTATGTAGAGGAGTGATTTGGAGTTAATAATTGTGAATCATACTTCTACATTAATTTAAAATGGTGAATTCAAAATGGTGGATAAAAAATGGCGGATTCAAGATAACGGATTCAGACTGTCTTATAATATAAAAATGATAGAAATAATTCAAAATGGCGGATTCAATATGGCGACCAAAAAATCACGATATACGAACTCCTGAGTATATATTTTCATCAATATTCACTAATCACTAAAGCCAGCTAAACAGCGCGGCGCGGCGGCCCACAAAGTTTTCAGTGTTAACAGTTCAGTAACAGGGTAAGTTTAACGCATCTCTTTATAAATTGCAACACTGTTGCAATTTATGTTGAGATTGATGTTAATAACCCTGTTATTTATGTTGAGATGTGTGAAAACTTTATACCCGCCGCGCCGCCCGGATCTGCCGGCTTTACTGATCACGTAACGATACTGCCAATGTCACCAAAATTTCAAAAACGAAATATTCATCACATGAAAAAGTCAAGTGATAAGAGCACATTTTGGTATTTAGAATTTATTTTGACAAATTATATGGACATTTCTCAATACGGCAACAGAATTAAAACAATGCTCTTCCCAAGTAAGTAGCTGATATTCTTTTTTACCAATTGGTATCTTGATTGCACCAGTTTGTGAATCCATCCAACTGAATCAGTCATATTGAATTTAAAAAATCTGATATCATATTTATCATTAGAACTCCCCAAATCATAATCAAAGAACAAATGGATAGAGATTTTATTCCACAATTCATTGAATTAAAAAGTTTTCGTCGCCGTTTGGGCCCATCATCTTGAATATTTTAAATAAAATTTTGATTTTATCATTGACATATGTATAGTTTTCAATCCGAATTCGAGCAACTGTGAGATGTTTGTCCCAGATATTCGATTTTCCATCTTGAATTTTTAAAATCTGATTCAGTTTTGAATCACGTATACAGTTTTCAGTCTTTAGATTTTTTTAGGCTTTAGATTTTAGTTTTTTTTTAATTTTAAATTCTAGCAAATTTAAAATTTTTGTCCCTCATACAGGATTTGTCCGTCATATTAGATCCGCTGTCTTGCGTTTTTAAAATCTGACTTAAGACCTGTAATTGGCGACCCTAAAACTCTAAAATAATGATGTTTGAACAAAGGCGAACCTTTTTTTTTTTTGAGCCAGTATATTGGATTTCCCGTCCTCTAAATGTTAATACGTCATCTACGTACTTGATTTGGAAAGGTAATAAATTAATTCTTGGACATTTTATCGAAAAATTTATAAATCATAATAAAAATTATAATGGCCAATGTAATTTCTGGTATTTCAGTCATCAAAAAAAA